AACCCGCAGTCCAAAACCAGATGATATTCAGTGTACAATGGTATAAAATTGAGAAAAGCAGCAAACTTGGTATGGTTGAGAAGCTCAAAATAAAAAAACTGTAGTTTTCTCTTCATTATCTGTTAGAAAGAGATATGTCTTGGGACCCCAGGTTAGGAAAACTGCTCTAGTCTATAAAATGTCAAAAATAGTCTAAAACGCCCAGGAGGATGTCTTCAAATTCCTTGTTTGGATCGACCAACAGCCAAAGATATTCGAGTTACAAAGATATAAAATGGGAAATGCAACAAATCTTCACATTCTTAAGCTTGAAGCAGCAAATGTCAGGGATTTTTCTGTCAGTCGGCTAATCAATTAATTAACTAAGAGTTTCAGGACTTAAAAAGCAGAGAGGAGGCTGCATGATGCCAGAAGAAGAAATATGCTGCTTTAGATTTAGCTCTAAAGTTGTTCAAAAACATACATTTCCTCCCACTGTATCTGGCATATAGTTTTCACCTGATTGGGCTTTTTCTATGGGGACAACATGGTACAAATACACAGAGAGCATCGGCTACATACCCAATATTTTCTATTTTTCATGCATTCAAATGGATTCCTTTCACATACAGTACTTTTCACATATATTTGTTCACTAGCACTGCATATACATCCTCATACATATGAATATTATTAGTATTTGGATGCAGTTAGTGTCTGAGCAAGGAGATACAAGGTGAGGAATAGTAGAACGAGGGCAGGAAGGGTGACAGAGCCAAAGAAAGTGGAAAGTAGAAGGTGAGGCAGGGGGTGGGGTAAAAAACAGGTCATGGTCTGCAAGTGAAGGGGGTTGTTAATAGACTAATCCAATAATCTTTCTCATGGCCACATGTGGGATGTGAGATATATGAGAATGAGAATGTGTGAGAGAGAGGGCAGAGAGAGTGCATGTGCCTCTGTCCAAGGGAAGTGTTTGTGAGGATGTGAAGGTCACCTTGGCATGCTGTGTGTGTGTGTGTTCCAGGTAAACGCGGTCCGGCAGTGGCAGTTGCTAAGGGAGCGGAGCTGTGAGTCATGATTCAGGCATGACCCCTCCCACCCCCCCACCTTATTACCATCACAGACAGCGAAACTCAGGGCAGCCTGAGGATGTGTGTGTGTGTGTGTGTGTGTGTGTGTGTGTGTGTAAACACAGACTGTGTGTATGTGCGATTTTTTGGACAGAAGGTGTGATGTGTTTTGGACGGAAGGTGCCTTTGGGGGAGATGAGGAGAGCCTAAGGCCAAAGCCTGTCTGTGTGTGTGTGTGTGTGTGTGTGTGTGTGTTCAAGTGTGACAGAGGATAGCTCACGAGCGTCAGTCCTGAATTAACCTTTCACCTTGCCTCAAGCAGAGAGAGGATACGCACACACACACACAGAACATGACACACACACATACATGCAGCAAGCCGGCCCTATTAGCAGGTCGATAGCTCAACCATTTGCATTCACAGTTCCTTTACACTAAGCACGGTAATCTCTCACAGTCGTTGCCACCCTCCCTCTCTGTGCCTTTCCCCTCTTGAATGTGCATTAGTTTGTTTGTAGTTTGTGTGTATGTGTCCCCTGTGATACTGATGCTGAGTAATTACCAGGGTGAGTAGGCTAAATGGATTGTTCCCGACCTGACCACCATACCCTTGGGGCCTGCGTTAACATCAGCATCAACATCACACACATACACAAACACACGCTACGCACATAAACGCACATAAAGGCAGGACAGAGGTCGGAATTGTATAACAAAAAAACACCCAGAAAGCAAAGGCCATATAATATTATTCATGTTCATATCACTCACTAGGATTGCCTGGTGAGTGATATGAACATGAATATTATTATACGGGTAGTTAAAGCAGCGCAGGGTCATTGGTAAAAGATTCAACACTGCTGACAGTTCCCATCAAGTACACTGCGCTTTACTGGTTGCTTTGTTTGCTCTTGTGGACTCCAAGGGGCTAATTAGTGCTCATTCTTGTTTTATTCAGTTTTTATTTTAATGTATGTATACTTAGACAAAAACTTTTTAGGTTGCATAAAAGCCACGATAGCCTTGAGGATATTCTGTACTTTGACAATGAGCTCTGTGACAGCACTTTTTCTGGTTCAGACTGCTGGGTATTGTTAATAGGAACAATGTTGAACCAGACAGAGAAGGATCTATATAGTAGAGCCTGACTGATAAATCAGCATGCCAATAAGCAGATATTATTGGCATTAATGCTGGCAGATATACAAAAAGCATTTCCAGTAAATAAATGTTTTATAGACCCAGTAAGGGTTTAAAAAACAAAAAACTAACTCTAAGTCACTTTAAGGTTAAAAAGATTTTGTTGAGCCACTCACATGTCCTTGTAACAACTCTTTAATAACCAAATTTGAAGGATTCCTATCTTTTTTTTATTATCTTTACATGAAAACTGCAAAATAAGTAATATATGTACATATGTATACAACAAATATCCAAGTAATGTAAGTAGAATAACAAGAGGTTATTAAAAAAATACATACAATTAAATACAAACGTGACATTACGCATGAACTTGTGGGTGTATTGTACTGTTGATGGCCTCCATGGAAACAAAACTACAAAAACGGCAATATTGCAGAAAAAACAAAACTTAAAAATAAACTTTTCATGAGGTAGTTGCTGCATCCACCAGCACATCTGAACTGTGCTTCTCTAAAGAAAGTTTGCCATCTCCTACTTCTACACTCTGTTTTGGAAATGGCCTTCTAGTTTACCCCTTATTACCTACTGTATGAGTGCTGGCATACCGTCACCGCTGGGAACAGTCTGCTATCATCACAATACTTGTCAGATTCTTACACAGCTGTAGGGCTCAGCTCCTGTCTGCTGATGGCCGTATGTTCAATCTTTAATTTTTCACTTTTTTTAAGAGTACAGGAACTAACATGCGAATTTAATGTTCATCTTTCTGGTTCAGTTCTGTCTGCTGCCCACTTATGTCCCTGTATGCTGGCCAGCTAAGTGCATTGACTTAATTGCAACATACTGTAAACTGTGAAAATGTTCTGCCAAGTTTATTTAGTTATATCTCTGCTGTTATCTGCCTGTACCGGTCCAATTACAGAAGCCAGTCTGGAGCGACTGCGTGAAGTCTGCAGCGTTTCAAATGACCTGCAGCTGATTGTGTATGAAGCAGATGCACAGTATAGATAAAGAGAGCTGGCAGATAGATGCATCCAGCTGTTAGAATAGAGAAATCTGTTGTTTTATGATGACACATTCCTAATACCGAACATCACACACACACCTACACACTCATAAACACACAAATAGACGTAGATACACATACACAGTTTTCATGGATGTTTCTTCGGTGAGAGCTAATCCCCTGCCGCTGTCAGCCGTGCTTTCGTCTCCTCCAGAAAGCTCCTTACACAAGCCAAAGCTCATCCTGAGTGTAAAAGAACACACACACATGACCCACAAAAATACACATACACACGCACACTCACTTGAAGTTAGGGTGGAAGATCTCGCGCCACTTTGGCAAAGCCTTGTGCACCCTGTAAACAACCTAGAGATATTAATGGAACAATCTGAGTAGCCTCTTTTTACTCACACATGTTTTTACATTTACTCACATGCACACACATTGCTATACAGAAAAATAAAACACATTTGTCCATAATCAGACAGCTTGTTCTTAAAAGGAAGAAGACTGCGTTAAAAACGTTAGTACTCATGCCATGTGTCGCAAAAAATAAACCAACACTAATGCGCAGACAGACACACAAGCACACAGCCCTCATTCATAGTCCCTTATGTCCTCCTATTTCTAAACATGCTATGCCTTAGAGGTTGTCTAGTATCATATTTGTGCTGCAGCCAGAGCGGTCGTGTGTGTGCGTATGTCTACACTCCCATGTCAGCAGAGAAGTGACACTTCTTCACAATGTGCTGCACAATACAATGTGACAGGGACATTATTTGCTATCATATCATGCCCTCATACTACTCTGTTATGAAGGCTAAAATGTAGGAGTGGTTTGTGTATGTGAGTGAGAGAGACTTAAAGACCTAAAGCGGTTTCTAACACACACTGATGTAGCAGTATTGTGTTTCACCTGAGTGGGTGAAGGCTGAGGAAGTGAGGTCGATGAGGTAGAACCTTCGGTCTTGTTCTGTGTTTCCCAGAGGATCAATACAGCAGTGCAACAGAGCTGGCAAGACTTATTTCCAGAACCAGTGTTCACTCTCACAAGACTTCACCGCGCTTTTGCAATAAGTCTGCAAGGGCTCCGGGCTGTCGCACTGTAAAATCGCTCGCGCTTTGAGGGCTCTCTTGTGGACTTTTCACACTTTATGCACACTATAACTCTGCTTAGGGGAATAAAAAAAGAGAATTTTCAAATATAATTTGGTCAAACAAAATTATGATTCTGCTGTTAAATGACATATAAACATACAAAACTACTTGCACCATTAGCCACAGAAATGTTTCAGACCCTGAATGTCATGAACTGGTGTTTCATTCCCAATATACTATAAAAGTATCGTTATTTGTGGTTTATATTTTAAAAAAATATTTAGAATACTTTTAAAAATTGGTGAAAATTAGATCAAACAAAACGATAATACAAACATCTTGGTAAAAATGGATTTTAGAATTAAATTAATTATTGTTGACTATAAACTACTGCTTTACTGTAACTACTTTAGGATGTGTAGGAACATACAATCTCTGTAAAAGAGTTTACACCAATTTGCTCCTTTTAAAAAAACTCTAGACACTGAGCGGATTATTTTCCTACTTGACTACTGTCTCACAATCATCTCTCTTTTTAGAGAACACATTTGATAATCCATCTTTTTACCCACGGGGACATCATGAGATCCCTTACACAAACGTCTCATGAAAACGTCACCAAACACTAATTGTGCTGCACAATGTCAGTATTATATCCTCTCCTTATGTTGACAACCCTGTGAACAATCCTGAGAAAATTCCACTGCTCTGAAATAAGACTGACCTCCAGCTCTGCACACTTCTCTACCAAACTTCCTCCACTTCAGACCACTTCCAGTAAGCCTGTCTGATAAGGTGGATGAGGTACTTTCTCCCCTTCTATCCAGTGACCTATCAGTACTACCTCAGTAAATCTGGCTTGTACCTCTCTCTCATTCTGTCTGTCACTGCCCTCTGTCCGTTGATGCCCTGTCAGTCCACCCTGTTCATCCAAAGCAGTAATGCCCTGCAGCTGTCCACACTGGGTTCACCTCGATGTAAACTCCAAATCTGCTCCTTATCACTCTGGATCCACCTTTCAGTTCAATTTAAGGAGATTTTTGCTGAAAATTTCTTTTACTTTCTCCTGGTCTTTGCACCTTTCTGTCTCCATCCTGTTTCGGCCTGTATTTCTACATTTCTCCATGTCTCTTCTCTTCCTTAACAATTGTCTGTCTTGTGCCATCTCTATGTCCTTTTTTATTTATTTCACTGCTGTCTCAAACATGATTTGTCTTTCTGTCTCTGTGCATCTCTCTTCCCATCTGTCTCTCTATGTCTGTGGTGCATATACAGTCTCTCTTGTGTCTATCAGTCTTGCTCACTCTCTCTTTCTCTCTCATAAACACAACTCTTTTAGTGTGTCTGGCCTCTTTTCCGCTTTATGACGGTAAAACTGACAAGAGAGAGTTATGAGCCGCCATTTTTCAATGATTTACAGCCTCTATACAGAGATATTATACATCTCAACAAGCACACTTTTTAGGAGTTTAGCAGACTCAAAGCTCACTTAGACTGAGCAAAGAGCTGTATGAGGTGTTAGTATCTTGCTTAGTGGCATGTAGTAGTTAATGGCCTTCTGCAAATATCAATTCTGTGACCTTTTTATCTCATACCAAAACAAAATAAAACATTTTCCTTCCACTCAACAACATCTCTTTCCAAATATATTGATGCTGTTACTCGTGATAATTCTCAAACCTTTTCCACAGGTCAGAAAATCACACTAAAGCTCTTCTCCCTTTACTCCCCTTAATATCTCAGGCTTTGCCGTTTTCAGCCTAACCACAAATTATCGTCTGTGCCTCACCTCTAGCTTTGGCAATTCACTTCAAGATATTGACTGAATTTCAGGAAAGTTAGCACTGGGTACAGGTCTACAGCCTATCACCTAATTGGCTGAATTTTCTTCTTGTTTTATATACAATAACTCTGAAACTATACAACTGCGTGTCTTATTATAATAAAAGCTTATGTAGAGTACTACAAGTACAGACAGGAAAGGAAAAGTGGAAAGTGTGATAATTATAACTAGTGTCCATTCCGGCCTGACCCGACAATTATTATTTATCCTCTGTAGGGGACATGACACTATGCATGCAGTCTATTTGAGTCCTAATGTCCTGTGAAGAGGACATCCTGGGCTTCCTAATGATGTTACACAAATGGGGGTGCGGCCAACAGGAATAGCAGCAAACATAGTTTGGGCAGTAAGGGAGATAAGTGATAAAATGTATAAAGATATAGGTTGTTTAATTAAGGATGTTGTTATTTATTTATGAGCATCTTAACTATATTAAGATTTTTATGTTAATTTTAAGTTTTTCAAGATACACATTTTAACCCATGTCCTTAGTATTATTTTCAACCATTTTCCATACTTTAGGAAACACTTAAAGTGAGGCAGAAAAGATTTTGCTCTATGTGACTGCACAATCAGCCTATATTCAATGTCAAACCGCTCAGAGAAGTGGACTGTCTGCACCGTCCTGCATTTCTTTGATCTGGCTGCCACAAGTGACCGCCGGGCCTTTTTGTGGAAAAGACTGACCTGATATCGACTACAAACGACATGTTGTAAAAATAAAATGAAATACATTTTTGAGACAATGAACTTACATTCCAGTTACCTAAACTGTAAAAAAGCAAGTAACAGATATAGCACACACTGTATAGTCCATGTCTAATCTACTCTTTATAGTCACCAGAGGATATAAGCATTTGGAATTTACCCTTGGCTAAAAGAAAATCTATCCGATTATTTATTTTTCTGTTTTTGTCTCATCCTCCTTCCCTCTCTGCCTTTCTCATCCTTGTTATTGCCGTTGTTTTTCTCACTACACCCACCACTCTCTGTCTAAGAGTTAACTTGTTTGCAGAAGTTTGGTGTGTGCAGCCCAGACGAGTTATGCTCTAGGGTGGATAAATACAGACATTTCAGCTGAAGTGCCTCAACTCTCTAAAAGAGGAAAGAAGAAACAGCCGCAACAACAAAGTTATATCCTCAAGCAACCTTTTATCTGACAAATACTCCATTCATAACACACTTAATTTCCCTTACATTGCTTTAAATGCAAAGAGACACATACATGCACACACACACACACACACACGCAGGCACACCACAATACCGCCTAGAGCCATGCTTACAGCCATCTCATGGTAGATGCATGAAATGTAACTGTTCCATATCAAGCTCTCTTCCTGCTGGTTGATATTATTTCCCTCACATGGGCTGTGATTGCATTTTATTAAATCAGTAATGAAAATGACCAAACCTCATTGTGTGATTGTCATTCTTTATAATAAATAACCCTGTTTCCATTATGCTGCCTCAGTCTGCTCCACATCTCTTTACATGGCTTATATGTGCATTATAAATGATTTTTTTGGGAGATTTTGTCAGCTGTGCCATTTCACTCATCAGATATTTAAAATTTGAAAGCCCCTACACATTCAACACATTTAAATACAAACAGTATGTAGTGTAATTTGCAAGTGGTGCTGCCCAGTGGAACTGTCTGTGTTTTCCCTCGTATATAAAAGTATAGGTTGTGCAATTGATTGCAGCACAGATTTTTATCACTGTAGCTTTGTTTTTTTATGTGAATGCACATTGGCTGACATCGACAGTAGCGTGACACCATATGCATCCCCTCTATAGGACTGGAAAAAGAATTGTGCTTCTCTTCAAAAGTGTTTCTACGTGTTTTGAGATGGCCACACTCGCAGGCAAAAACCCTGTCGTCATAACCTCCCCCTGACTGCATCACACTGCCTCCATTATCTCTCACTTAGAGTGCTTATGTCTTTGTGTGTCTTTATAGTCTCAATTCAATGAATTATACAAGTGGGGATAAGGGTATACGCTTCCGGACAGTCTTTCCTCAAAGATATTTATGGTGTTGCTACATGTTACATGAAGTGGGGATGCTGGATTGTCTGTTTTGAAATTGGAAACACTGTCTCTCTTCTCAGGATTTGGATATATCCTTTCATCCATCCATCCATCCACAATGCTACGTTGTTATACTCACTTGTTCTGGTGCTTGGAGCCCTGGAGGTGTGCATGGTACTGCTCGATAGAGTTGAGGACCACACTGCAGACACTGCAGGAGTAACTACTGCGTAGCCCTGGTGAGAAACAAACACACAACCACGCAGGTACAGCTACAGTTACTGTCAGGACACTTTGAAAATAGTATGGTTCATAAAAATCCTTAAAAGCTGTTATCATCAGCAGCAGCAGTAGCAGAAGCAGTGAAGCCCATGTGAGCAACAATAAAAATTTGAACTTACCAAATAACTGTTTTATTTTTATACTCTGCAGTGCAGGGTAATTTTCCTAATTAGAGTGCATCTGGAAAAAGATTTGATTAGACTTTCATCATTAGCAGAAAGCCAGTTACACTTTTAGATCACTGCCTTCTTCTTTCTAGTGTGTGGGTGTCTGTGTGTGTGAGTGTGTGTGAAGGTGCCTTTTCAAACGTGAACTTCTACAGGGTGAGAAGAATTGGGACACTTGGGATAAGAAAAGAACAGTGCGCTAGGTTGTGTACATGTGTAGTTCTCTGTACGGCTGTGCATGCCTTCACATTTGTATTGTATTGGTGAATGCGTGCTTGAGATGGTGGGGCTCAGACACAGATGTGAACTAATTAGAGGGTTTGCAGGTGGTCGAGATGAACACCCAAAAATAGATGGATGAGGATGGAGATACTGACAGAAATGGTTGGTGGGGGTGGGGGAGGGGGGCAGGCAGAGGATTAGGTAGACAGAATGAGTGAAAAGAGTTAATTTCCGGAGAAAAATAAGCTGTGCATAAAAAGATGAAGGACATGGAAACACTGTAAGGATAATGAGTTGTCACACTGCAGCAGTGCTGTAAAGTGCATGCTGGGGTTTTAATGACCACAGGAGAAAACACAACGTGTGTATCCACCTCTTAAAAAAAATTTCCTCTTACACATGTGGTAACTACAGCATGGCACCACTGATCTTAAAATCTTTCTTTCATGAGGGCAGAGGAAATTCTCTCCGTGTTGAGGAGGACAGCCGGGCAATCAGCAACATGACATAATTGCCTGCGTATTCTCTGTAAGAGATGCAATAAAATGCTATTTTTGTTTTCTCACATTTTGCACACTGCAGAGCTTTACTCAGATTAGAGATGAACAACCTTGATGCTTCACGGTTGTATGACAAAACAGCCAAAAATGAACAGCTTGAAGCCTTTTCCCCCCAGCATGTCCATGCTCCCCCTCCTTTACTGTGTGTTTTTCTTTCTATGTTCACGCTTTGACAATGAATGTGTAATTCTGGGTTTGGTGGTAAGCGGGTGATGCTTGCTTGTGTGTCTGTGCCCTTTTCTCTGCTGTCATTACTGTCCTTGAGATTTATGAGTTGTCTGTGTATTCCATCACCTATTGACCTTCTGTGGCGGTAATTGGTGAAGTATGTTGGGAGATGAAGTTGTAATATAGTTAGGAGTGGTGGGAGGTCATTTATACTGGGCTAGAGCTGCATAATGTGGCATATCTACTCCCCGTTGTCTCAGTCGCTCTGTCTGTTTCAGGGGTGATTAAGGACAAGCAGTCATTTACAAGAAAGCCTCAACTGAATTAGTTGCCTGGAGTAAGCACTGTCTTGGCTTAAATGTTGATATTTTGCATCTATTAGGAGCTAATAACTAATTCTGTGTGTGTGAAGGAGAGAGAAAAAGAGAGATAGTACATTCTCTTCTGCCAAAATGTCATTACTTCTGTTCTCTCTTAATGAAAAGGCTATTAATTGGAAAGGAGATAATTTGGAAAAGAAAGGAATGATAAGTCTCTCATTCTGCTTCCCTTTCTCTTCCCCGTAATTCTATACTGCTGCAAGGATTACACAAAGAGGTCTTTTCTTGTATACACGATTAAGTGTGTTTTATGTGCATGTGTGTATGTGCGCACACACAAAGGCAGCTTCCCTGCTTTTAGCCTGATTGATGTCACCTCCCCACTTCCTGGCCGAGCAGCACTGGTGCACAATATGCTGCAGTTTCTGTCTGTGCCAGAAAATGTGCTTTTGAACACACTCACATAAACGTTCACACACGTGGACGCATGCACAGACACTGCGTTTTGGTTAATAAAGTAGTTCTGGCATAAGCCAACACTGTGCCCTAATCCATGTTAATTACATGCAGGGAAAGAGTGCGTGCAACACGAGTGACAGCATGCAGCGCAGGGTTGTGAATGTGGGGTTTTTTTTGGTGAGCATGAGCAGTATTTGTGAGGGTGTTCTAAGCCTTGTTAATTACACAAGAAGATATGCCAGGGAGAGAGAAAAGAGGGGGTGAGATGAGCTAAGGCAGTGGGTGTGGAGTCTTCGGGCAGTGCTGGCACCCCTGGTATGGTGATGCCTAAATGCTTGTCAAAAAAGTAATCAGCTACATTCTGTGCACAGAAAATCGAGCCTTGTTGCAAAGAAACTTTACTTCTTCGTGAAGTTTCTGAGTCTGATATATCTTATTTTAACCTCAGCTTAAGCAACATTAATGACTCATTTGGAAGGTGATGTTTTATTAGGAAGCTCAGAGGGTTTTCAGGTCGTGGTCAGCACTGACAATTGTGAAATGTACAAATTAACAAATGTTGCATGAAGACTATTTGTTAAATAGCAGGATGGTTTTAGATACAGAGGAAATGAGCCTTAAGCACACTCTACAACCACCATTGAACATCAAGTTACATATGGATAATTTCAAGGTAGAGTTTCTCCTAGTCTCCGCTTCCTTCCTATGGGACGGCTGCAACTGAGAATCTCACTGTAAGGTATTCATCTATAATTTTATTCACTGTGGAGGCAGGATAATAGCTCTTACTACCCCAGATACTTTGTGTTGTGGTACACCATTAGTTTACCATGCACTTTGCAAGATTAAAAAGGAACTGGATCCAAAAAGAAGCCCATTGAGATGCAATCAAACCAACTGTCTGCAGCATAGGCTTGACAGTACGTCTCTCAGGAATATATCACAAATACCATAGCAAAGAGGGGTTTAGCATGGGTGAGAGTCAGATTGAATCCAAGTGGAATTTTACCAAACAACAAACTTTGAAGGACTTATAGGGAGACTAATTAGTTTTCCAGTGAATGTGACAGTAATTGGAAAGACCATCTGTTTTAGAAAAAGAATTGTCATGCACAGGAAACAAACTGAACTGAACTATTGCTTTGAAATGAAATGACCAGATTCTTTTCAATTTTTCAGGTTGATGCTCCAGCTCATTAGTTTATGTTTGTTCTCTGTCTGATCTTAACGGATTAATTTTCTCTTTACACTATATTTATTCATATTTTATATTAATATATCTGACATCAGTGCCAACATGATACCTGAGTTGATACCTGATATCAATATCAATACCTTAGTTTGGCAAATAAAAACATACTTTAACCCTTTTTTATTCAACTAAATATTCCAAACTGCTTATTTCATCATTGCAGTAAAGCAGTGATATGTTTGCCACTTGGGGACTTAACAAACCCTCCTTTCAGCATCTCTTTTGGTTTCCACCAATTCCTGAGTGATTGGTGTAGCTTTAAATACAAAAAAATGTGTCTATAGTTAGGGACGTTTTACTTAAATCAGGAAACATCTGATCCAAAGAACAAATAAAGAAGCCTCAGAATTAGATGGTGGCTGGTGCTAATGTCCCACCCAGTTTGTATTACGTATGCAGATCTACAATGCCTACAGTATATCACGTTTATGTGTGCATGAATGTGAGCTTGCTTGTGCGAGTGTGTCATAGTGTGTGCTGTCTCATGGGAGAGGAGGTCAGCTCTGTCTCCCAACCCAGGCACTGTCATCAATTACACACAATTTTCTCTGCTTTGGTACTTCACCCTCTCTCGGGTCCTCGTGCACACACACATGCAGACACACACTCCAGTCCTAGACGCTTATCTCACTGCCTCTAATTCTCTACTGAGTCTCCAGAGGGAAGAGACAGTGCGCCGGCATTGTCTTGAGGGGTTTCTACCCCTGTCGTGATTTATGTAAAGACACAGCTGAGTCAGGCGGGCTCCATCCCTCGGCAGTAGCCACCCCCACTGCAACTCCCTTGTCCACCTCCATAATCCATCTCCAAGGGTTTTGTCTGGCACCTAGCCGTTGAAAATAACGACATTTTCCCCTGTGCCCTGTCTGCGCAATTACACCAGAAAAATCCAAGAGTAAGAAACGGTGTCGATATAAATGTCATGGGGATTTTGTGATATGTTTCGGTCTTGAGAGTGTGAAAGGGGGAGCAGGAGGTGGGGGGGAGCATTAAAGAGAGAATATGCAAGTACAAGCAAAGGTCAGTATCATCAATAGGACACAACCAGACAATACAGCATGGCAGAGCCTGTAGTCATGGTTTAGAGAGAGAGGAAATGTTGGTGTGTAAATAATTCACCTGTGCCTCGTGGGGCGCTAATGAGGATGACAGATGAGACAATGATGAGAGTTCGGAGCCCCTAGTGCTGTACACACACACACACACACACACGCACACATTTACACACAAAATAACCACAGCAACAACAAACAAGGACACAAGACAGAGTACAGCAGCAGGGAGGGGTGGGAACAAGATAAAAACGAATGTAAAGAGAAAACAGTTCTACAAAGGGAAAAAGAAAGACAAAAGGACAGAGATGAATCTGTACTTGGCTGAGACTGAATTCCTCATTTCTCCCCCTTCCTCTCTCTCTCTGTTTGCTCAGCTGCCGCCTCGCGTTCGACCCTCCCTCTGAGATTACACCCGACACACCTGTGACTTCACACCTGAAGGGGTGATAAAAGCCAATCAGATGTGAGAATCTTGCACCAATGGAAATGTGTCTGAAGAACAAACGACTTGTTGTATTGTGATGAACAAAGTGTTTCAGTCTTAAAGGCACTGGAACAAACACTTGATTGATGGCATATATAATAGATCATGCCAGCAGCAAGCACACTCAGAAATCTTGGACCAGTTCATTGCCCTTGAACGGGTAATAGATTTTGCAGTAGAGCATCACTCTTCACCAAGTGCAAACATCTTGGATTGAATAAAGGAAAATCTGTATTTTATATATATATATATATATATATATATATATATCACAATTTTAAATGTGCTCTGTAGGGTTCTACATGCTGAGGTTTGAAGTCAAAATCTCCCAAAAACAGCTGAGGTTGTGGGATCTGGGTCACAGTGTGTGGATGCAGGACGATATCCAACATGACACCTCTTAAAGCCTCTGAGCCAGTGTAGGCGGCAACATGACTCATGCTTTTAATATGATTGGCTTCTTGAGATGATGGTTTGTGTCATGGCACCTGGAGCACAAAGCGAATGGCACGGCTTCGGCTCACAGAGGATTTGCATGTGTGTGCGACCGTGTCAAACCTGTGCGTATGTGTGCGTGCGCAGTAGAGGAGTTGTGTGGCACTCGTGTGAATGCTGGGTTGCGTGCTGTAGGATGATGTTGGACGATATCACTCATAGGAACCAGAAAAGGAAAAAACACTTTCTGTGCCAAATACTATTAATAATTTCATTAGAATACCCTCCTGGCAGAGATGTGAGTATGAGCATGTGAATCAGTGTCCTCTTACTGCTACATTTGTGCGTGGAAGTGTTTGCGTGGGAGACGGGAGGAATAAAGGGGGAGAGAAACACGTAGAATAGTAATTAATACCCAGGACTCGCTATGGTAACTGTAATTTGATCTCAGTTTTACCAGTAAATAATGAACAGTAAGAAATAACTTCAGTTTAATTGTCTGCTTACATGTGAGCCTGGTGGACCCTTCAGTCTGCGTTTATCATCACATCATTAGATTAAATATTAGTGTGTAATGTGTGGTTATTAATCTGCACTGTGTAATTTCCTAGTATGCTACATGCAACACGCCAACAGAGGTCCCGTTACTTTTTTTGACAGTTTTACACAGTGCAGTGCTAGCACTAACAAGTGTGAAAGCTATGCTGTAACACGAGGAGACTGTGACCCCAACAGGCCAACATGGAAAGGTTAGACTGTGGCAAACAGATGATGTATAAGATGTGTCAAAATTTCACTTGGACTGAGATACACAGTTGATTAAGGAGAGACAAATATTTTCTTGGGATGATGGATGAGCTAAATCTTTTATTGGCATAGACCATTAAGATTATTCACCCAGTAAACACCTTTCAAAGAGTACTGGTGATTTAGTTATTTATTTCTATGAAGTTTGGAACTGATTAAAACAGCAATGGTCAGAGTTGAGATGAGTTCAGCAGAGGCAGGGATATCCAGATTTAGCTTCTAGTGTGCCTGGGTCAAGCTTCAAAAACGCTGCCTCCTGCAGTTACAATAATGCAACATGATAACGTTTTTTTTTGTTGGACCCACACACACTGGCCCTTGCCTTTCAAACTAAACACCCCAGTTTGTAAAATGGGCTTTCTAATAAAATCCTGAGCCGAGATATCTGTATAATGTTACTTTTCTTCACTGACAGACTTGGACATAAAAGTGGTTAAGTGCCTCTTTAATTCAGAAAATATTTTATATTATGATGGCTCATTCAGATATATAAAACATTATAATTCTGCACCTAAATTTAATTATAAGAAGGCATTCCAACCATCTGTGAGACGTTAATTGTTTACTGTATATATAAACAGTGGGACGGTTGATGGGGGTAGGTCCAATGTAGACCGCTTTAATGGAAACACATATGATTCAAGGACGCAGGAGACAGGTGATAGGTCATATAAAATCTATGTTTGTGTCCACATTTATGGTGAATGTGAATAAGCCGATGTTTACAGTAACTGGCTAATGCTGCTAATTTTATCTGTGATAACCGGTGTGGCTTACCTCAGTATAAAATCTGTGAAATGTACACCACATTGAAAGGCATATGAACATTTCAGAAGTCCACCCTGCCACAGATCTTGAATGTGATCTCCCCCTTATCGTCTTTCCTCGTACAAAGTCGTAACACCCATCCTGCCCTTCACTTGTCACTTGTGTCGGGCTCGGGGCCAAGAGGCTGACCTGTGCTCTCCGTGGCATCCAGACTGCCCGCTAGCTGCTCCAGGAGGCGTGCCCTGGCTGCGTTCCGGCGGTGTTTCTTGCCCTCATAGTGCTGCTGGGCCATCAGTGGGTTGTTGAACCAGGCTCCGCACAGGCAGCAATACTTCCCCGCTTCTCTTCCGCCGTTTCCTCCGACCACCGCCATGGGCCAGGGCAATGCAGGGGGAGGAGGTGGGCATGCGGTGGGGTCTGTGGGAACAGGGGTGGAAGGGGAGGAATCTGGTGGAAGAAGTGAACAGATAGAAGGCAGAGATGAGGGGTGAGGGATTGCAGCAGGAGGATGGGAGGGAAGAAGAAAGCGAGGGAGCACATTAATAGTTTATTTCCTTGATCCTTGATATTAACATTAATTCAAATGCAAATGAGGTTTTAAGACATAAATGACATGAAATGAAAATATTTTCACAAAATTACATTAACATAAAAATGTCATGCATTCATATTCAGATGAACATACACACACACACACACACACACACAAGTGCAATCTCAAGTATGTTTATACACACACGCACACACGTACATTTAAAAGCTCTATATTTCGATCATACTGATTAAGACTGAGGGCAAAGAGCAATAGATAGCTGTAGGCCACATCTGTGGAACATTGATGAGGGTCAGGGGGAAGCTCCAGGGACCAGTCTGCAAGTGCTCCGAACTGGCTTTCTACTATCTACTGTACTGTACTGAACCTCCTGGCTTTATCCTTTTTACCTACATCCTCTTCTCTCATCTTTCTTCCCCTTTCATCAATCTTCCCCCCTCTCTACTCCTCTCTCCTCTGTGAGGGAATGAAAAAAACAAAGAGAAATGGCAGACTTCCAGGTGACCTGCTACTCGTGACATGACACTGGTTACCATGGTGATTGCCCATTAATAGCCAACAGGCACTGACATGTCCACAGGACGTGGTTGTGGCTCACGCAGCGAAGACTGCGTATGTGCGAGTGGCTGCACGTGTGTGTGTGTTTGTTGTGTGTGTGTGTGTGCATGTGGTTTGTTTTGGGTAGCAGATTAAATGTATTAGATCCACACTTTGAGAAACGTGTAAGCCTAGTGTGGTGTGTGTTGTGTGTGTGTTGTGTGTGTGTGCACGTGTGCGTGCATGAATGAAGCTCCAGAATAGGCTGTTTGTGTGTGCGTAAGGTACAGTACGTGTAGCAAAGAAATCGTCTCTGCTCAAACTGTTTATTTGAACACAGGGAGGGGGTGTTAGGTCCACAGCCAAATTGTGTGAGAAAGCTTCTAATGCCAGATGGCATGTCCAAATGTGCCGGTTCGCCATCTACAATGTGTCAATGACTCTAGAGTTATACCGACTATGACTACACAGCCACAATACCGCACGTTTAAACATTTTATATCACGAACAGAAGCCCACTCACACAGGCTTTTAAGCCAAAATGAGTCATATCACTTCTTTCACAACAACTCACTGATAACAAATGAAAAGCATGTGTGAATTGACCAGTGACCATGAGCGTGAGGTGTGTTAGTTTATGTGTGTGTTTTTTTTTTTTTTTGTGTTTGCACTTGTGTTGACTTGACTCTAGCCCTGCGAGCTGATTGGTTGCTCATACCTTGATGTGTCTTCGGGCTCTGTTCACATAGTTACTGTATCTATGGCTGTGTCTCTGCTCATCTCACCAACCACACCCACACATTCCCTTCACTTGTGTTTGCCTTTGCCACGCCATCATCTCACTTACAAAACACAACCCTGTAACTCTTTTACTGTCATTTCATTTCTCTGCCACTAATCTCAAAGACAAGGCCATCCTATAATCTCTGGTGTAACGTTCGTGTGTGGCCGTGCATGAGTGAAGCTCTGACAGCTCTGTGGCTCCGCACGTGCTGAGCAGCAACAGGGAGAGATCCTCGAATGTATTTTTCCTCTCCATCCCTTGTTTTCCCACCCTTTCGTTCCTCATGACTGTGATCTCTGCACACTGGAGCAGAAGTAAGTGTTTTTCATGGAGTGGGGAACAGGGAGTGTGCGTGATAGTGTGTGTGCAGGAGGAGGAGGAGGAGGTGGTTTGGAGTGTGTGTGGGGATGTGATGAGCAAAAAAGGGGGAGGGAACGCAGGTACAGTCTCTGCTCTCCACCTCTCAAGGGCTTCTCCAACACACATGGCTTTTGCTTTCTCCCCCCTCACTGTGTGGTTTGTGTGCATGTGTATGTTTGAGCGTGTGTCCGCATGTAGGTGTCCATGTGTCCTTACATGCATCAGTCATCCTGCCTATGTGTGTTTTCTGAAGACTGTGTGTGCATGTGTGTGCTTCTCTGCCCATGTCCGCTCAAGCCTGTCAGCTTAGATGTGCATCTTCTGTGGAGCGCTCATCTCAGAGTGATCATGAAGGCTACTTTTGACTTTAATCTCTCCTGAAATCTTCTTCATCTCTCCCAGGTCACTCTTCCTCTCTTCTTGCTCTGGTTCTCTTGTTTCTTTTCCTCCAGGTCCCACTGTCACAAAAACCACAGAAACTCCACAGCAACGGCTGTACAGAAGTGACACTTCTCCAAAGTAGGCCAAAGTTTAGCAAAAGTCACTCAGGGGCTTGATTATAACACTCCATTTTGTAGTGATTGTGTGTTTATGGCTCTTTGAATTTTCACTTTGAATCCAATTTGAATCACATTATGTAAAGCTCCCCTGGGGACGACTCACCAGCACTGACAGTTAAAAAAAAAAAAATGCTCATCTTAAACAATCATGAGCATGAACAAAAATCAATTTGCGGATGTCTTGATTTGTTGAAGAGATTTTTTTTTATTAATCATAAGACCTTTTATAAATTAAAGGCTTCACCTTCAAAGTTTTACTTTTTGGGCCTCTGGCATGTTAGCATTTGCAGACACTTTTTTCCCCCCTCTGATATCCAGACTAGACATTTTGAGTGAAGCATGACTAAAGCTTTCCAAATCCACTTCAGATAAAAATATATGCTTTGAACTAAAAATAGTTCTGTATTTAGTGATACATGTCGCAAAAAAAGTGGATGTCTGGATGACTTGGGTGCATGCGAGCAGGGGTGAGAGCATGTTTTATGACCAAGTTAATTACCTTGGTGTTTAGTGAGGACAGGTTCTTTGTGCAAACATCGAGATTGGTATACAATAGAGGTATTGATCCACTAGGGCTGAAAGGGTTGATCACCAGAGCACCAGTTTATAGTCAAAAGGTCGATGGATTTTTACAGCTTTCACTTTCAAGTCTGACCTCAAGACAAATAGACCAGCTAGTCTAAAGAATCAGTGTAATGCTCTAATCTCTTCATTTTCCAAAACCCAACTTGCACTCAGCCACTTGATTTCTTTAGCTGCTTTATACCTGCTGTAATCACTATGGAAGCATTACAGTTAAAGTATTTTAATACAGGTAGAAGGTGTGAGATACCTGTGTTTGTAGGGCTGGTCATGGCTGTGGGTATGTTGGGCGGCTCCCCCAGCACCAGGCGAACTCTCTTGGCGTGGGTTTTGCCCTGGTAGTGGGACTGGGCCACAATGGCGGAGGTAAAGAACATGTTACACAAGGTACAGCACTTGTTCCTGTCCACCTCTGTCTCTGCGCAGTCCTACAAGAGGAGAGGAGGAAGAGATGGTAAAAAAACAGTGGTGGATGGGCGAGGAGAGGTGTTATGAGAGAAAAATAGATCACAGGGGGAGGAGAGGGTATGGGGAGTGAAAAGGAAAAGAGAGGCAGTGAGAGGTGAAGGTGAGAAAAGGAGAGGAGAGATGCAGGGGAAGATGAGAAATGGAAAGAGGTACACTTTGCACTGACCTCCCTGAGCTTTGTCTTTTTCTCACTCTCTCGTACACACACACGCGCGCGCACACACACACACACACCAACAATGATCCCAATACTCACGAAAAGAGCCCAGTAGTGGCATTTAAGCAATCATAATCAACTCAAGGGGCTCTAATCTCACTGCCAACAGCCCTCCAGTTTGCCGTAGTGATTGGTGTGGCCTTATGCGCCTGTACAGCTTTTCCAACCTTGAATCCAATTTGAATCACCATTATTACAACCGCCGGTGCTCCCCCACTGGTCGATGTCAGCGCCCCTGAGCGGCCAGGCCGATCTAAAACTGCGCGACATCACAGGTATGACTTCATAAAAAATAATAGACAGAGACTGGCCCTATGGAACCAATCCATGCACATCTCGTCGCAGTGAAAAGAGGTCAAAGTCAAAGGGGTGTTGTCCACCGTTGAAGGAAACCGAGGACGGCGTAAAAATTCACACCTTTGCGGATTTTTGATTTTTGGAAGAGATTTTTTCTAGAGATCTATAAGACCTTGGTGATTGACCAAATCTTGAGACAAGACTTAGACCATTGTCTACAAAGTTTTACCGATTTGGCCCTTCTATCCGGCATATATCACCCATATGGAACCACTTTTTTTCCCCTCCCTCACCATCTGATAAAACCTAAGACATTTGAGTGAACACATGTACTTACAATAGCTTTCTCTCAAAATCAACTACAGCAAACCAAAATTATTAAGGCCTTTTGGAACCTAACAATTAATTCTGTATTGGTAAGGTGATAACATGTCCGAAAAAAAATGGATGCTGGAATTGACAAGTGAGCGGACGAGGCGGATTCAGCGGAGCCAGGCGGATAGTTATGGCAAATGTTTTTTATAACCCATCAGTAAATTAAACCTCTTGGTGCCACCTACAGTATCCGAGAGAAACGGTTGTATTTTGTGCTAACTCAGCATTCTCAGTAGAATTTGCCACCTGCGCGAAAAAGTATCAAGGTCAAGGTATAGATCAAACAAGAAAAAAGAGCCAGAAGTGGGACCCAGCGACATGGCCTAGAAAGGTTGATCCCACCCAGCTACTTACAGTTATACTAGCGCGCATCTTGTAGGTATTATAATCAATAAGGCTTCATAAATCTACAATTTTTCTAGTTTACATTTCAACCTCAACGACCTCAAGACAAATAGACAGCATCTAAAGAATCAGTGTAATTCGCTCACATTCTCATTTCCCAACCAACTTCGCATCCAGCCCACTTGATTCTTTAGCTGCTTTAATACCTGGCTGTAATACACATATGGAGCATTACAGTTAAAGTATTTTAAACAGGTAGAAGTGGAGATACTGGTGTTGTTAGGCTGGTCTCCGCGCTGCCGTAAGTTGGGGGCTCCCCAGCACCATGGCAACCTCTTAGGCGTGGTTCTGCCCTGTAGTGACTGGGCACAATGGCGGAGGTAACCAGAACATGTTACAACCACGAGACAGCATTGTTTCCTTCCACCTCTGTCTCTGCGCCATCCCCCTAAAGAGGCAAAGAGGAAGAAGATGGTACAAAAACATGTGGAGCCCCCCCGCAGGCAGAGTTTACTGAGAGAAAAAATAGATCACAGGGGTAATGAGAGGGTGGGGATTCGAAAGGAAAAGAAGAGGCGCCCCAGTGAGAGGTAAGGTGAGAAAACAAAGGAGATGATGGCAGGGAAGTGAGAAAGGAAAAGACGTCATTTGCCACTGACCTCTGACTTGTCTTTTCTCTCTCTCGTACACACACACGGGAACACACACACCACACCACACCACACACACACACACCACACACA